CCCCCCCGCCCACGCCAGCACTCGCCTTTTTGGGCTCCATAGAAACGATGTTGTCCGTAGAGAACGTTGCTGTTTCCATGGTGATCCAAGTGGCTCATGGGGAGGAAGGTGGATGCCAGGCTCCCTGAAAATCTGGGGTACCCTGGAGCTAGGGAGGCGAGAACACCGGCTGCAGAGGCAACGCCAGGCAGACCCGGGGGCGGAGCCGGGCGGGGCCGCGGGCGCCGGGCCTCCTGCTGGTCCGTTGTCGGCTCAGCTGGGACCGAGCTCTCCTGCTGTTGGGGATCTGCATGGGCACTGGTCCCCGAAGCCGCAGCTCTGCTCCCCAAAAAGGGCCCCTTGGCCCAGCCCGAGGACCCCGGCGCCAGGCAGACCCGCTGTGTCCCTGCAAGCCCCTCCGCGGCGGCGGTGCTCTGGGGGGCCCCCCCGCGGCCAGAGGGGGCCGCCCGCCCACTGCCTTGGGCCTGGGGCTCCCGCAGGGAGGGCCCCGGCCTCAGGTGCCTGCCCAGTCCCGCGGCTTGCTGACAGGCCCGGGTGTGGGGGCGCCCAGGGAGCCTCTGCGAGCTGGAGGTGGCTGGCTGACCCCACTCCTCACCGCGAACGGACGAGGCCTGGAGGGGAGTGTGGGCGCTGTGGGGGGCCGGGGCCAGGCCCTGGGGGCTCCCCTTCGTGACACGACCTGTGCGGCTGCCAGCCACCCTGCAGGAGGGGGCGTCCCGTGGGCGGGGCTGGGCGGGAGGCCCTTCGCCCGCAGTCCCCTGCTGCTGCGCTCTGAAGGCTTCCCCGTGGGGGCCCTGATACCCAGGCTGGCCTGCCCGCTGTCCCCGACAGAGGGGTCCTGCCCTGGCCAGTGCTCCCCGCGCCTCCACCCTGCCCCGCACGGCCTGGACACTCGGGGAGCGTCTGCGGGCACCTGGCAGGCCGCCAATGCCCAGGGCCGAGCGGCGCTGCGGGGGCTGGCGGGGCTGCACCGAACAGTCTGTCCCCGGGCTGGCCGCAGTGGACAGGAGCCCTGCGGGCCGCGGAACACCCCACGGCTCTCTGGAGGGGACGACACGCGCCCCCCGGTGCTGGGCGCCCGCCCTGGGACGCAGCTGCTCCAGATGTCCAGACTGAGCGCAGCGCCGGGGACCTGACAGCAGCCGGGGGCGGGGCGCGGGGATGTGCGGGGGGGCGGGGGGCCCACAGCTGTCCCCTTTAATTGCTGCTGTTAAATGTTTTACGGGTCTCGTTTTGGTAAACAGAAGTCTGTAAATTCCTCCTTCCCAGATGCCTTTCCCAGGAGCAGCAGGCCCTGTGACCTCGGGGTCCAGGCGGCCCCCCACCGCCCTGGGGGAGCAGAGCACCCTCACTCTGCATCTGAGCGGCTGCTGGCCAGAGCAGGGGCACGGCCCTTTGAAACCAGGAAGGGAATTGGGGGCCGGCCGGGCTGGGGCTTGCAGGAGGAGGCTGCTGGCGGGCAGGGTGGTGGCTGGGCCCTGAGGCTGCGGGTCCCGGGGCGGCCTCAGAGGGGCCCTTCCCCTCCTGGAGACCGGGCTGTGGACTTGAGGGCCGTGAGACCCCCGAGTCGGCATGCCGCCCCGGGCCCAGCGGCCCCTGCTGAGCGGCCAGAGGGCCGGTGTGCAGCCACCCACCTGCACCCCGCTGGGCAGAGGAGAGGTGTCGGGCGGGGGCAGCCCGTCCGCCCATCTGGGGGTCAGTGCCCGGAGACCGCGCTGCCCTCCCCGGGGTGCCCGGCTGGGCCCGACCTCCGGGGCCGCATCTCAGGGTCCTTCCCGAGCTGCTGTGAGGCCTCCCGCCCCTGAGCTGGCCGCCC